AATGGTCTCTAAACTGAAGAGAACACCCACAGAGTGGGAGAAAATATTTGCCAGCTACACATCAGACAAAGGACTGATAACCAGAATATACAGGGAACTTAAAAAACTAAATTCTCCCAAAACTAATGAACCAATAAAGAAATGGGCAAGTGAACTAAACAGAACTTTCTCAAAAGAAGAAATTCAAATAGCCAAAAAACACGTGAAAAAATGCTCACCATCTCTAGCAATAAAGGAAATGCAAATTAAACCACACTAAGATTCCACCTCACCCCTGTTAGAATAGCCATCATTAGCAACACCACCAACAACAGGTGCTGGTGAGGATGCGGGGAAAAAGGAACCCTCTTACACTGTTGGTGGGAATGTAAACTAGTACAACCACTCTGGAAAAAAATTTGGAGGCTACTTAAAAAGCTAGACATTGATCTGCCATTTGATCCAGCAATACCACTCTTGGGGATATACCCAGAAGACTGTGACACAGGTTACTCCAGAGGCACCTGCACACCCATGTTTACTGCAGCACTATTCACAATAGCCAAGTTATGGAAGCAGCCAAGATGCCCCACCACCAACGAATGGATTAAGAAAATGTGGTATCTATACACAATGGAATTTTATGCAGCCATAAAGAAGAACGAAATGTTATCATTCGCTGGTAAATGGATGGAACCGGAGAACATCATTCTGAGTGAGGTTAGCCTGGCCCAAAAGACCAAAAAATCATGTTCTCCCTCATATGTGGACATTAGATCAAGGGCAAACACAACAAGGCGATTGGACTTTGAGCACATGATAAAAGCGAGCGCACATAAGGGAGGGGTGAGGATAGGTAAGACACCTAAAAAATTAGCTAGCATTTGTTGCCCTTAATGCAGAGAAACTAAAGCAGATACCTTAAAAGCAACTGAGGCCAATAGGAAAAGGGGACCAGGAACTAGAGAAAAGGTGAGATCAAAAAGAATTAACCTAGAAGGTAACACCCACGCACAGGAAATCAATGTGAGTCAGCTCCCTGTATAGCTATCCTTATTTCAACCAGCAAAAACCCTTGTTCCTTCCTATTATTGCTTATACTCTCTCTTCAACAAAATTAGAGATAAGGGCAAAATAGTTTCTGCTGGGTATTGAGGCGGGGGGAGGGAGGGCGGAGTGGGTGGTAAGGGAGGGGGTGGGGGCAGGGGGTAGAAATGACCCAAGCCTTGTATGCACATATGAATAATAAAAGAAAAAAAAAGAAGTATAGAGTAAGGGCTATGGGTGTAGTTCAGTGGTAGAGTTCTTGCCTAGGATGTGCAAAGTGCTGTGTTGGATCCCCAGCATTGTAAAATTTTAAAAAAATGTATGGATATATGGAGTGTAGTTTACCAAGGTCTGACTGACCACTGTTACCACAGGGGAAAAAATTCCCCACTCTGTATAGGGGGAGAGCATATGGATGAATGATACATTATTAATAAAATAGTTATTGTGTATCAATGTAAAAAAATGAAATTACTAAATGAAAGAAGGTTAGTTGAAAATGTTACACACTGTGTGATTCCAACTATATGGCAATTTGAAGAAAGACAAACTATGAAGACAGCTAAAAAAAAAAAAGTGGTTGCCACGGATTGCAGGAAGGGAAGGATGAATAAGTGGAACATAGAGGATTCTGGAGAACAATGGAACTATTTCATACAATTTTCATAGAGCAAAATAAAAAACCTTATGTTCACAGTTTGATGAATTTTTAACCTATCTGTACATATGTCAACGTTTCTATTTCATTATTTCAGAAACTTTTTTCACACTGCTTTCCAGTTGTTATAGTTGAATCGTGTTGCCTGCAATTCATTTATTGAGGACACCCCAGTATCTCAAAACACATTCCCCCTTATTTGGGGATACGGTCTTCATAGAGGTAGTCAAATTACAAAGGAGAAATTTGGAGACAGGCACGCATACACAGAGATAATATCTATGTGAGGATGAAGCAGAGATCAGGATAAACTTACAAGTCAAAGATTGCCAGCAAACTACCAGAAGCTAGGTAGAGGGCATGAAACAGATTCTTTCTCATACAGCCTGCAGAGGGAACAAACCAAGGTCAAAACCATGGCCTTGGACTTCTTGTCTCTAGAAATATAAGGCAATAATTTTTTGTTGTTATGTCATACAGTTTGTGGTACTTTATTAGGGTATTCCTAGCAAACTCAAATACCAGTCAATACCTCTACCTCTCAGCAGAGTGAGCACCTAGTATGGGTTAGTTTTGCTTGTTCTTGTATTTCTTTTTTATAGAATCATACGCAGTCTATACTTTTTGTGCCTCATGTCTTTTGCTTCATATGTTTTTGAGATTCATTTATGTAGTTATATGTATCATGAATTCACTGTCTTTTTTATTGGCATAAAGTAGTTTATTATATATATATAATGTAAATCTATCTATCTATAAATATATCATATAATTTGTTTACCATTTTTCTTGTTAATTGACATTTGGATTGTTTCCAGCTTTTAATAGAATAAACTACTAGGAACACTTGTGCAGGTCTTTTTGTGGATATACATAATGAGATTGTTTTGTCTGGTTTTTTCTTTCTCTCTCTTTCTCTTTCTCTTTTTTTTGGTAGGTCTCATAGCTCAGAATGCCTGGTAATTTTTTTTATTAGTAATGGAACATTGTTAATGAAAAATTGTAGTGTCCCTGTATATTAACTTTGTCTAGCAAAGACTTACTTTTTCTAGAAATTAGTTCAAGAAGGGAGATGAATATCACTTGAGGCCAGCATTCAGTCTTCTTTAGGCCTGGTTGACTTTGGTTTGCTGTTAGTTCTAGGTGTACCCTATGGGGTTTCAACTGAGAGCTGGAAGTGTTTAACAGACCCTTCTTCCTCTACTAGTCATGAACTCCAGTTTTAGTTCCTCTGATGCTATGAGACAGCCCAAGGCTCTCTCTGTTTAGCTTCTTCCTTTTATAGCTCTTGCTGTCACTTGGGGTCTCAGCTTCTCATTCCACCAGCTTTGAAAACAGCAGTTTACTCAAAGGTGGAACAAAATGACAAGCTCACTGCTCTGATTCTCTCTTTACCTCCATGCTCAGCCTTTCCACTCCTGGGCTCCAGAGCAAGACACGCTCTGTGCTGTGAAACACTTGAGAGTCCTCAGCTGCCACATTCTGCTTGGTCACATTTAAGTTGGCAAATGCCTCACAGGGAAGAGGGGCAACCCATGAGGCTCAGTGAACAGGTTTTCCTTCTTACTGGGGTCTTGACCTTCAAATCCTTCTTGTCTGTTGCTCTCCAAAGACTTCAAATAAATTTTTAAAAATCTAACATTTATAGTTGTTCTTGGTGGAAAGCTTAGTCAGTTCAATTAGAGGTGAAATTAATCATTTAGTTTGGCTCCCATTTGTGCCTGCTGCTTTAATGCCTTTTTTTTTTTTTTGGCTTCTGAATTCTCACAACTGTTTTCTAAAACAGGTGTGCTTCCTATTCACATTTTACAAGTAGAAAGCCTGAAGTTCTGAGAGGTGAAATGATTTACCAAGGATGGAACAGCTACTAAGCCCAGTCCTTTTTAACTGCTAGGCAACCAGTCTCTCTAGTATAGCCTTGAGGTCCAGAGTTGGACCTAGGGCCCTCCTTCCTCCAAGAAGCCCTCCTAGAACACTCTCAGAGTCTCTCCCATCACCATTCTTCTGAAGCAACATCTGTTTATGCCCAAGTCTCCTTGAGCTTCCAATAACAGTTTTGACACCCTGGGCGTGTGCCTGACTGTCCTTTCTGAGGCAGGCCACCTCCCCCTGACACCGGCAAATCTGGGCATGTTGAGGCACAGAGAGACAGTAGAGAGGAGCGTACCCAAGTGGATAGGGACATGTAATGTTTGTCCACTCCATCCCTGGAGGGTCTGGTGCCCTGGGGCAGGGGTGATATCACATTGACTGGGACAGGCAAGTTTGGGTGAGAATGGTTAGAACTCTCTGTTTTAACCTCTTAGTTACTAAGCAACCACCTAGATGCTCAGAATCAAGGAAGCAAGCCAGGGGTTCTGAACAGCTACCCAGAGGGGCCTACCTGGGGCCACAAAGATCACCCATGAGGAGTGAGTAAGCAGTGGGCTTGGGGCAGCAAGGGAGATCAGGAAGGCACCTGCTGGCTGATGGGGTGGCATGGCCTGTACTCCTTACCTATAAGCCCTCTGAAAGACCCCAGTATAGCCAGGGGTTTGATGGCAGAAAGAGAGAGAATTATGTTGCTGTCTTGTTCTGGGGAATTGGATGTGGTACTACCACTCCTAGAGCCTTGATTGCCCCATGTATGAGATGGGCACATGTTTTTTGTCACCTTGGCAAGGTGGCAGGTAAGGAAGGTGATCCAAACACCTGTTGGCTTGGAAGAGCCATACCTCATGTGAGGTAGCTCTATTACACCATTCAGGCAATCATCTACCTCGACCTCCTCTAGGCTGCACACAGACCAATGAGCCAGGAAGGGTAGGAATAAGAGATGGCCTTCTCCATGCTCTATAGAACAGGTTACCTCCCGTGAGTGGCTATCTTCTCCCACCCTCTGTATCCCAACTTTTCCTGAGACACTCTGAGAACTGTTCCATTGCCCATAGCCTCCTTAGACACCAGTCAGCCAGAATACATCCCTCACAGTCTGGGGACTTCCTGCCCAGTGGCCTTCTGCTTGCAAAGGCCCCCTTTCTAACATGCCTATTCTGTTTTTGTCCTATTAAGTGGCCAGGGGGAGAGGAAATCTGATACTCTGTGGTCCCTAGGGTTAGGGTAGCAGAGACTGACAGCTCTGAGACCCAGGAGGAAACCCCCCCCATTAGGAGGCTCTGCCTAGAAGGGTCCTAGCTGGGGTTTCTCAATTCTCTGAAGTTCCACTTCTGCATAGAAAACAGTTTCTTTCCAAGAGGAAAAAAGGAAGCAAGCAACAGAACTGAAGTTTGTTCTGACATCATGTTCCTGAACCGAGACTTCCTCAGCCTTGTCTCAGCCCAGACCCCCTCTATGGAGAGAGCTCACAACTGCAGGGCTAATGCCAGATGTGGCCCTCCAATAAGGTAGGTGGAGATCGGAGGGACTGGAGCCCACAGGGAGGAAGAGGCCTGGTGGGGCTGGGAGGAGGGCTCCTGGCCAGACGCCCCTCACCTTGGAGTGTCTTCCTATGCTCAGCCACAGGGCAATCAGGAGGGCTGGGGTTTCTGTTTCCCCAGATCAGCTGCGGTTCAAGAGGCAGGTATCAGCCTCTTCAGGGGCCCTTCTCTCACCAGTGGCTTTTGTCAGCTCTGAAGAGAGTAAAGTCAAACAGAATGGTGGTTCAAAGGGATTTTTTTCAGGGTCCCTAGGCCACCATGTTGGTTTCTAGGAGTGAACTCAGGTTTGGGCCTAGGCTGAGGTCATAGGCACACAACCCACTGTCCTGGGCTCAGCCTGCACCCCACCTTGGGATGAGGCATTCTGCAGGCAGGGGTCAGAAGGACATGTGGGCTGAGATGTAAGTATATCCGTGCACTAGGAAAAAGTGGTGTCCCAAAGGGCCCAGATCTCAGTGTCACACTGGAAGCTCCCCACTCCCTACTGTATCCAAAAGGCAGGAGGGGCAGAGGATGGACATCCAAGAGAGATGATTAATCTGTACCACCTGGCATGGGCTCCCTGTCCCACAGCCTTTAGGGACCAGATTCCCATTTGTGATCTATTGGGGTTTGATTTCACTGTGTGTGGGGTTCCTCATTTAACCAATTGGCACAGGTACTCCAGACACATGCTATGGACAGACACTATCTGAGCTGGGCTGCAGCCCTCAGGAGACCTAAGAGAAACAGGAGAGGTGCTCAGGAAGACAGGACAGAGCCCATAGACTTCTATCATGAAATGTGGATGTTAGAGGACAGACAGAGAGGTCACCTTCCTGGGGCTTCATGAAAGAGGTGACATTTGCACAGGGCCTTGAAAGAGGAGAGATTGGGATGGAGCATGCATTCTTGAGCTAAAGCACGGTGCTGAGAAGGGTACACTTCTCCAGCTCTGCTCAACCCTTGGTTCTGACAGAAGGTAGTGGCAGGTCTTGGGCCACATGAGGTATGTGGGTGTGGCAGAGAGTTTGTGCTCCTCAAATCCAAGCAGTAACAAAGCTGACCATTGGAAGTGGCCTTCTAGTGTGTGCCAAGGTGATTCAGAAAGATCATTTCCTGGAAATGTATCTGTGGAACAAATAATGTATGTGACACATATTGCCATTTGCTTCCTACAGAGCGTGTGGGTTCTTTAGTGACCCATTTCCTAGCACTCTCCTTCTCCACCAGGATCTTCTCTACCAAGATCTGTTTTCTGCCCATCTGTGAAGAAGGAATGCTCTTTTACTGCTCAGAAGGGGAAAACACTAAGCCTGGCCCACAGGAAGTGCTTGGAAAGTGCTAGCTGTTTTTAATCCTTCCTTGGGGTCTCCAGGTAGCCTTTCTGATGCCCAGGAGCAGGTAGGCTTCTGTCTTCTGTGTCCCTCCACGCCTCCATACTGGGAGCACTATCTCCTCCCCAGTGGGGTGCTCCCCAGGAGCAAGGGCTTGTTTACATCTGCTCCTCCATCTTGATCAGTTGATTCAGCACCTGACTCAAGGGACTCAGCAAGGGTTTGTGCATGACTACCAGATACAAAGGAAGGTACAGTCTGTCTTCCCTCCCATGAAGCTTCAGGGTTTTTGCCCCTGAATAACCAACAGGCCACCAAAGTTCTGCCCTGCAAGCTGGTGTGCCTTATGCCTTGCCTAGAAGGATGGACACAACTATATTCCAGAGAGCTACAATTCAGAGAGCATGGCGGGGTGGGCGTGTCCCCACCCAGAGCCTGGAGAGATGAGGCTACAACTAGAACTATTCCACACCAATGCCAGCCTTGGCTCCATCCTGGCTTAGGCAGAATGACTGTATCCATGGATGTGTGGCTCTGATTGGCTAGATGTGGCCCCTGAGGTCTCTAAGGTGAGCAGACTGTCTGGGTTCAGGAAGTTACAAAGAGTGTGTCTGTGTCCCATCCTTCCCAGGCTCTCATCCATGGAGAAGCCCCTCATGGTCCTGCATGTGAGCCTGTACCACCCCACACTGGACCCAGTTGCCTTTGCCAAAGTCTCACAGCAACTGCAACATGACACCAGCCCATTGCTGATTGGGCGGGGACAGGACACCCACTTGCAGCTGCAGCTGCCCCAGCTCTCCCGCCAACATCTGTCCCTGGAGCCCTACCTGGAGAAGGGTGGCACTCTTCTGGCTTTCTGCCTAAAGGTCCTGAGTTGCAAGAGCTGTGTGTGGGTCAACGGGCTGCCACTGAGGTACCTCGAGCAGGTCCCCCTGAGCACGGTCAACAGGGTCTCCTTCTCTGATGTCCAGCTGGTGGTCCACATAGAAGAAGGCACCTCCCTTGAGGCCTTTCTCTGTTTCTTCCATCTTAGTCCCTCGCCTCTGATTTACAGACCCAAGGCTGAGGAAGCTGATGAATGGGAGTCTCCTGGAGCAACCTCTCCCGTGTCCAAGGGAACTGACTCAAGGTCACCTGGGGTTTCTACATAGCCCCTCCCAGACTCTGAAAGTCCTCTCCAACCAAGCCCTGGAGGAGGAACAGAAATACAGCTGCAGAGGGAGCCCCCAAACTCTGCACTCTGCTGGCCCTGCCACTGAGAGTGAAAAAAAGGCTTGGACTATCTGAGCTACGTCATGCAAGGTATGTGCAAGTCGACATTTGAGGCCTGCTGGCTGCCTCACTCATAATGAACCACTTCTGCAAACACTAAGCAGCCGTGGGGTGGAGAAGCTTCCTCCTTGGCAAGAGGTAATGAGAACTTCATATTCTTTTAGAGGCCCTGAGGGGTTCCTGGGAGCCCCTCACGGCATTTCCCCACATTTCTCACCATCTAACTAGGAGTTACTTTATGTTGCTCATTTTGCACACTGCTTAAGAGCAGGAGTTTGAGGTTGCACCAGGAATGCATGAACACACGTAGAAATTACATTTGTCGTAGCTCGGGGTTACCTTCAGCTTTCAAATACCCATAGGCACTTGGGGCTTAGGGAAGCCTGTGTTTAATAAACTCAAAATATTTCATTAAGCTGGCATACCCAATAGGATTCTCTGATCCCCAGATGGACCACGTGCACACTACATTGTCAGGCAGAGGTGGGGCGGGAAACCTAGAAGAGGTGTAAGAGGAAATTGGAAAGGTAGGGCTTGCATTTCTGGGAAGGCTGCAGGCAGACCTCAGGGCTTCCGGGATGGCAGCTGGGAGCTGGGCCTGCCTGGAAATTCATTGTCACCATCACCCTCCTCATCCTCACACTTCCCCACTCTCTCACTTCTGACCTCAGGAATTGATGCGTTTGCAGATCAATAGGCTCTATCAGGACAAGTTCTGTGAGGGAGTAGGGTGGAAGGTTGTGTTAGAATTCAGCCCAGCAGTGAGTAAAATTACTCAGGGTGGGCCAATGCTGATTGACCTAGGGGGGTCTTTCCAAAACAGGGATTGATTGGTAAGGAGCCAGGCAGGTCAAAAGTGGGAGAATTTTCTCAGTGCACACGGGGAGCAGTGAGCTAGCTGCCACTTGTCTTGCCATCCTGAGAAAAATGGTTAAAAACAGTGTTCACCTATGTAATGGAAGGAGGGACCTACAAACTCATGAGATCACCATGATCCCAGACATGTACCCTACTCCAGGGTGCAAAGACACTGAGGGAGCAGCACTGCCTACAGGCTGACTCACATCCCTGGGGTCTGTAACCACCTCCCACACATGCCATTCTGCACTGAAGGAAAATATCCTTTTGCCTCCAAGGCAGACTACTGGAGGTTCAGCTCTCCTCCCAACCCCTGAGCATCTTCTCTATGAGGAAGACAGCACTGGACAAGATCCAGCCATGCCCTTGCTCACGAAGCTTTCCCTCCCGATAGCAAATGTATCAAGTACATTCAGTCTACAGACACAAGGCAGGAGAGAGAAAGGGTTGCCAGGGAAGGGCTGTCCAATGCTGTGCTTTGGGACTCCCAAAGCAGACTCTTGTTCATTCATTCAACAAATTATCACCAAACACCTACTTTGTGCTGGATGTATTCAAATCCTCAGGAACCAAGAATGAACAAGGCTGACAAAGTCTCTGCATTCCAGCACTCTTGTGCACTCAGGAAAGACAAGCATTCAGGAGGGTAATGACAACTATTTGATCATGATTGTAATTGATGCTATGGTCATTGTATTTTCTCTCTCCTCCAGCTGGGCTTAACATTAGCTCTATTATTAAATGCCTTTGTCTGCTGATGCTTACTATGTGCCACCTGCATTGACTCATTTAATGGGCACAACATCCTAGCAAGACAATTTCCTCATAGTACAGGTGAGGAAACTGAGGTTCAGAAAGATTAAGTATATTGGGAACAGCATGCCGTTTATGAGCTGTGATCTTGAGCAAGTGACAACCTGCTCTTGCCTGTATTTGTCCATCTAGAAAGTGATAAGAGAGATAACAGTAAGTGACAGAGCAGTTACGTTACCATGACTATGGAAAGTCATAGTGCAGTGCCTGGCACACAGTAGGCATTCAATAAGGATCAGTCACCATCATGAGATCTGAAAGAGAGAGGCTAACAGAAGTATATTCACAGGCTTATCACAAAGCCAGAGCCATCCATAGCCCAAAGGCTATGGCACTCTGAGGTTCTCTGAGCAAGGGATTTATTTCAGCTGTGGACCTGGCAGGCCGTCAGAAGGGGACTTTTAAGCTGTTCTTGTACCAGAAGGCTTGACAAGCAGGGTTTGTAGAGCTGAACCCTTGGGCTGGGGAGGAGAAGTCACGTGTAGTTTGGTTATGAAGTCCACCGACCAGGACAGTTTGATATCTCCCAGGCTGAATCTAGAGGCAATAAGGGTCCCTCACAGGCCAAAGTGCTGCCCTAACTCAGGGAGAGCCCAAAAACTGTCTGGAGACTGTACCAAAGCCTCAAAGGCTGAAGAAAGGCAGCCGCTGGTGGCACCCAGAGTCTGTACGTGTTGTTCCCTGGTACCATGGGACACACCCATCCCTACTGAGAGTCTATGAGGGGGAACAGCCCACTTCCTCCGTGGGGGACTCTGTGACTTGGGCCTTTGGGGTGAAGTGTTTTTGAGGTTGTCAGGGGACCCGGATGCACTGTACATCAGGCTGAAGGATGGCAGACTAGACAAGGCACAGGCAAGAGCCAGGAAACATCTGGTCTGTTGTTTCAGATTCTATCAGACTCAGCATGTTTTTTAAAACACCACTGCTCTGCCCATCCTAGGATCTACTTTTCTCAATTTAAATCATCAGACCCATGACACCCACCCCACTCTCCTGACAGCTGGAATTTCCAGCTTGGCTTTAGGGCCCTGGTCTGTACGCTTGACAGCAGCACTTCCCTTGACCTCACCCACAGCCTGAAGAGGGGCGTGAGTCCCTCCCAGTCATCTCTGCATTCTCTCAGCTGCTACCCACAGGGCAGCCCATATAGCTGGGCGGGTGCAGGCATGCAAGCATAGACACATGGACACTCATTCGTGAACACTGTGGTAGTTCTAAGTGGGTTCTGAGGTCAGCCTGAGTTAGACTTCAGCCTGCCCACTTACTATTTCTGTGATCTTTAACAAGTGACTGGCCCTACCTGTGCCATAATGTCTTCTAGAAAATGAGGATGATTAGCAGTACCTTCCTGCTTAGAGTCATCATGGAAGTAAAATGAAACACCATATGTAAAGTATCTAATGCAGTCTGTGGCACATAGATGCTCAAGAGAGGCCAGATAACATTGGCTAATTCAGTGGAATGAATCGAGTGCAAGGAGACATACAGACTCGGCTTACACATGCACACACATACACAGACACACGTCTGCCACAAGGAGCTACATCAATTACAGTCAGACAGACCCCAGAGCACTACAATTCTCTGAGACAATGTCTGGAAATTTAGAAGTCAACCCCTGTGCTCCCCTTGAAGTCATTTTAACCCTCACACTCCTCTGCTTTTCCTAGAATTGGAATCTTCCCAACCTGACTATAAAGGAGGCATGGTATTTACTCAATCTGTGTTTCCATGGAGGCACACATCTTCCCTACACAGTGACAGAGCAGGGACCCAAGGCCTGAGGCAGCACCATAGGGAAGCAATGGCAGGAATGCTAATAGTGCAATCCTGTCACAGCCTAGAGGAAGGAAGCCTATGGCTGGCCAAGGATGTCCCACATGGGAGGTTGGCACTCTGGGCCACACATTCCTAGTTTGTCTCCCCAGTAAGACCTCAAGTTTCATGTAAACACGGGCCATGGGTTGTTGGATGTTGTGTTCCCACAATGTGGGCATCATGGAACTGAGCAGAGCACAATGGATGGACAGATGGGACACTGGTAGTCAAGGCAACAGTTCCCTGGGGCCTGAAGGTCTAAGACAGGCTTCTTAGACCAGGCATCAGCAGTCTGAGGCCTGCAGTGGTGGGAAGCCAGCCAGCCAGTGGAGGGAGAAAAGCTCCAGACACTGGGCAGTCAGTGAGTAGCAGTGACCGTCACTGTCTCTTCCACATTAGTGGGCATCCCAAGGTCTCCATCTGGGGCAGAATAAGGCGGTGCTTCCTCCTCATTCTTAAGCCTCTTTGGCCCAACTCGAGTGGATCCTGAGACATGGAACTCTGCACACGGCCCATAGCAGAAGTTCACAGGACACAGGCAACCCCAAAGGAAGCTAGGACAGTGTGTGTGAGGGGCCTCTGAGCAGTAATAGTTGGTTGGATTTAGTTCAGGCCTGTTGTCCACCAAGTCACTATAGGATCTACTCTGACTCTCTCTCTGATCCCTGTACAGTGGCAAGCCACATCATCCCTGTCCCCCAGGCAGACACCAGCAACTCCTGCCTTGCCACATCAATTCTCCATCTACACACACCAGAGCTTCCTGTTAAAGAGTTCCCCAGAGGCCACAGAGGCCAGGATGCTACACCGCTGGAGGCATCTGCACCTTCAAAGAAAGGACTAATGAGTTCAAAGAAGAAAGAATGGTATTAAACTTTCCACAGCAGGTCATGAAGCAAACGGTCACTTCATAAATGCGTAATGCGAGGCTTAGTCAAGGGGCAGATTCCATGTCTCCTGGTGTCTAAATAGTAGAATTGAAACAGGAACTGGGAATTGATTTTTTTCTACAGCTGCTCACTGTGCCATCAGGCTGTTGTCAGCAAAGAGGTGCTAGATGCAAGCAAGACCCATGTGGTATAGACGGTTCATCACCACCTTCACTGCCAGCAGCCAGCTGCAATCTGGGACATCTGCCTCCCACTCCATTGCTCCTCAGGCCCCTGTTTCTTCTTCCCCAGCTTCTACCCTGTGACCTTTGGTGGTGGTTGAGGTTGCCATGGTCCAGGAAGTCAAATGGCCTCCCTCCAGCATGACTCCCAGCAGCATCTCTGCTGCCCCAGGCCCTCAACCCAGTCAAGACTCAAGGGGTGGGGGAAGTAGACAAGCCCAGTGCCTCAACTCTTAGGAGGAGATGCTGAATTTAATGTTATTCGCATTGCAGGGCTGAGGGTCTTACCTTTAACGTGAACTCACAGGTGGATAGAAGTAAAATAAAACCTACCACTTGAGTTACATTCTCAGCTGATTGAAAACATGCATTACCTCCCTGTGACCAGGCTGTGAGAAGGGAAGTTATTATCTTTCTTTAGAGTTTGTAAACTCTTTATGACTGAGGCAGTTTTAATCCTGCTGGGGGGAAATGGCACAGGAATAATTTGCTCCCATTTACTGTTGTTTTCCAATCACACACTCCAGTGAGAACAAAACTTCCCAAGTGAGGAGAAGTGGAGGGCCAGGTGACCACCACAGAAGACTTTCGTTATTTTCTTCTTTGGGCACTTGACTTGAAAGGGCTTTAAGGTGCCATTTGGAAAGGAGGGTTGTTCTACAAAAATGTGCATCCAGTGAGGATGCCAGTGCCTTATAACTAGTTCTTCTCCCTTTTTTCCAGGGGAAGACAGCCTCCACCCCCAGAATGCCCACTTCTTAGTGGGCACTTGCCACAAAGCACCCAGCTCTAGACATTTGAAGACAACTAAGAAAAAGGGAAAATCAAATCCACATGGAAACATGGACAGACTGGGGGCGGGCCGGGGGGGAGCTCTGGAGAAGCTGATTTCCCTCCCCTATTGCTTCTCTGATCCCCTCTGCCTATAACTTAATGGCAGAACTTATGTGTACCAGTTACCAGCAAAGCCATCAGGACAACCCAGGCTCTGAGCCCAGCTTTCTAACTGCTGGAAGGAGGCCTGGCTGGGATGTCTGCCTTGCTGTCCTCTAAAGATATGTAGAGGCAAGAGGTAGGGAGAGGTCAGGATAAAGCAGAGGAGGAGGTCAAAAGAGGGAGAGCTCAGCCAGGCAGCCAGACCTGGGGTTTTGGTGATTGCTTCTCTGCAGAGTAGGTCCAGGACATACATCATAATGTCATTCTTTCAGAAAGCTTGCTGTAGATGGGCTGGGAACATGGGCCCTATTAAGTGACCTTGTTTCAAGGGCTGTTTCATCCATGATCCAGTCATGCAAATAAAAACCACTCAGTATTCCAAAAATGTGATTCAGAGAATTCGGTACTAAGTTCGCAGAATTGCTGAAAGTGTGGGTTACAACTCAGACAGTATGGGCAGAAGTTGCTGCACCACTGACTACAGTCCCTGGGGCTAGAGGGACAACCAAGAGAAGTGGTATAAGAAAAGACAGAGTGGACTTGTCTGGCCCAGGACTGCCACGGAGGCCCTCTGAGGAAGTGGGGACCTCGAAGGGAGAGGCTACTCCCCTGGGATACAGCTGCTTCCAATGATTGGCTCAGGTGAGTCTACCTGAGATGGTGGGAGAGAAGAAGAAATGACCTGGCTTTGCTCCATTTTCTGCCTTTCCCTCCCCCATCTCTCACTTGTGCCTCCCCTCAGCTGAAGCCAGCCAGAAGCAGCTGGCAAGTGAGCTGAGACCTGCATTCTCAGGGTTTCACTTCCCTGTAGCACAGAGCAGAGGAAGGAAGGAGGGATGGATTTGAGGGCAAACAGTCAAATGCCAGTGTTAGCCAACCTATGTGTCCATGACAGTGCTCACATCCCTGCGGTGGTCTCCAGATAGGGAGGAGGTGCACTGTACAGAGGACTACACAGCCCAGCACAGTGGGCAAACATGGATCCTCCTCCATCACCATCACCCAACCTATGCAACCTTTAGCATCCTCAGGAGAGGAGAACAAAAAAATGACAGGTATAGCACTGTGAAACACAGGAAGAGTCAGGTGTGGCCTAGCCATCCCCATCAGGACACTCTGCTTTGAGTTCTGCCTCAGCAGAGATGGCATCCTCCAAGAGCCAACGTCCATGTCCTCTCCCTTCATCACACACATACACACACACACGCACACGCACACGCACACGTGTGTGCATGCCTCCTTTTGGACTCTGTCAAGCTTAGGTAAAGTGTTGGCTGAGAAACTACAGGATAATTACGAGCTGTGAATTTCACTCCTCCATTACATAAAGAGAAAATACTCATCTAAAAAGAGGGAAGATGCCGGTCCCTATGTCATCTCTGTGAAGACTAAAAGCACAACATGTAAAGGAACTTAGTGTGTGGACCTTGCAGCAGCTCAGTAATGTTAACCACGGACATTAGCCACCAGCCATCCCCACTGCTCCTTCCAGAAAGCTCCCTGGCTTCTCTTACAGAGAGGCCTTCTCCCTCCAAGCCCTAGCCAAGGTCAGGGCTTTCAGTGGCACAGAGGTCCTTTCCTCGGCAGGAACTCACACACTGAGTACTGCTGTGTGCTAGGCACTGTGAGCCGTGCTCCACGTGTTTCAGACATCACCTTGGGGGAATGTCCCACCTGCAGAGCCCTGTGGAGGGCAGGAAACTGTCTTGGACATGTCTATAGATTGGCAGCCACCTGGCACCGAGCGAGTCCTCATTGAGGGTCTATTGACTGAATGACAGGAGCGTGAGCTGAGGGGAAGAATTTGGGTGAGGTGAGAGCAGGCCTCTGGGGGCAAGGCCTTGCGAAGACTTCAATCAATCACTGGTAAATGGATGGAATTGGAGAACATCATTCTGAGTGATGTTTTAGCCTGGCCCAAAAGACCAAAAATCGTATGTTCTCCCTCATATGTGGACATTAGATCAAGGGCAAACACAACAAGGGGATTGGACTTTGAGCACATGATAAAAGCGAAAGCACACAAGGGAGGGGTGAGGATAGGTAAGACACCTAAAAAATTAGCTAACATTTGTTACCCTTAATGCAGAGAAACTAAAGCAGATACCTTAAAAGCAACAGAGGCCAATAGGAAAAGGGGACCAGGAACTAGAGAAAAGGTTAGATCAAAAAGAATTAACCTAGAAGGTAACACACATGCACAGGAAATTAATGTGAGTCAACTCCCTGTATAGCTATCCTTATCTCAACCAGCAAAAACCCTTGTTCCTTCCTATTATTGCTTATACTCTCTCTACAACAAAATTAGAAATAAGGGCAAAATAGTTTCTGCTGGGTATTGAGGGGTGGGGGGGAGAGGGAGGGGGCGGAGTGGGTGGTAAGGGAGGGGGTGGGGGCAGGGGGGAGAAATGACCCAAGCCTTGTATGCACATATGAATAATAAAATAATAAAAATAAATAAAAAAGACTTCAATCAAGCTGCTGCTGGGTGAGAAGAGGGAGAGTGAGTGGGTCCACTCAGACAATAGAATCATCAGGTCCATAGGGACCCAAGCCCAGAAGACAGTGACAAATTCTTGCAGGGCCCCACACCTCCAATTCCTATGCCATCTACCAGCAGGATTTCCTGTTTCTAGAAAGGTGGCCCAACCACCCAGCCCTTCACCACTCAGAAACACGGTGCGCACAGGTTCAGAGCTCCCAGGCTTGGAGATCTGCCCAGGAGTATCAGAAGCAGGCAGGTTGGACGTTGGCGGCTGGAGGCTTCCAGAACCTGTGCTGGGCTTCATTACTGAGGAATGTGTGGTCCCCTGTGGACATTCACTGGAGGCCAGAGAGCGGGAAGGTAATAATGAGAGGGCTCTGTCTTTCAGGTTTCCGTTCCTCTTCCCCTGGGCCCATAGGATCAGTGATTGTTGTGTAGATTTCAAGTTGAAGCATCACAAAACCTCATGTGGTCTGCCTTCTTCTCCACTCCACCTCCCCTCCTCACACACACACACACATCGGCCTCTGGGCTCTGTCAAGACTAGGTAAAGCGTTGGTTAGAAAACCACAGAGTAATTATGAAATGTGAGTTTCACTCCTCCCTTAAAGAGAAAATACTTCCATTCGAGATTTTCAGCACACACCAGAGTGAGTGCTTTGGCTCAGCTCAGAGGAAAACAGACGCAGAGAAGAGACCACCATTAGAGGAATTAGGGACTTTCTGAGGACGCCAGTGTTCTGATAAAGGAACGCTGTCACTCTGGCTACAAGTTTCTGGCATGCTGAAACACCCAGGCCTGATTTTAGAAAAGGCACTGGATTGAGAGGAAGTGACCTCAAAATCTTGCATACCTTGTTTTGTCAATCTCTATCATCAGGGAGGTGCAGATGAATGTTTAACACCTGGCTCTCTGGTGCGGGAGCCCTCATGACAGGGTTTCTCAATTTCCGTTGTGTAATTTCTCCCACCATGGTCAATTTCAAGTTCCTTTATCAAGGCAACATTGTTGGACGGCTGGGAAGAGATGTAACAAACTCATCATTCTGTAGTATTTTCACCACACAGATGCAATAGATGAAGATAATCTCAAGGGTGTAGATGAAGTAAAATGCTTTTAAAATGCTGAAATTGGCTGGGAATGGTGATTCATGCCTGTAATCCCAGCTACCCCAGAGGTGGAGGTAGGAGGATCAAGGTCTGAGGCCAGGGGGGCAAAAGCACAAGACTCTACCTGAAAACAAACTAAATGCAAAAGGTCTGGGGCCTTGGCTCAAATGGTAGAGGGCCTGAGTTCAAACCTCAGTACCATAAAAAAAGCTAAAATTGCAGTAAAAGTAATGAGTCTTGATTATTTACTTTGTATTAAATGTAACTTATTTAACTATAAGTTCATAAATTCAGTAACTTAATTAGAAACTTAATAATTCTCATAGATGGTTAAATATAATTTAATTATTAAATTCAATGATTAAATTACATTTAACCATTTAACAATCCACTTTTTTATAAGACAGTGTGATTCGGTTCCAGCCTACCACCATATGGAAAAAATTCCAGTCCCTGTATTCAAATGCTGGCCAGAGTAACAAAATAACCAACAGAAAAATACTTCAGGAATGATGATGGTACCATGCAGAAGCCCTGGAGAGCTCACAATGACCTTTTGAGAAACTTGTACAATATTTTGCTATCAAAAAGTGAATTTTTCTATTTATCACATTAGACATTTAAAATAACCTTATGAGGAGGTCAAACCATTGCAGGTTGCAGATAAGGAGATGAAGGATGAGAGAGGCAAGTGTGCCCATGCCAAGCCAGCTCAGCTGGTCAATAGGGGTGGGTAGACTTACTCACTCTTCTCCCTACAGCTCCTTCCATGCACTTGGTGAGGGTGTGGGGCAGACCAGCTCTGCCAGAGCCCAGAGTTGTGCAGTCTCACTGTCAAGACTAATCTAACAGCTGTTACCATATATGACTCACAATGGAGTGGTTATGCCAGAGCCCTGGAATCAGACCTCTAGCTTAACAGGTAGCTCAACAGGGAATAAGTAAGAGGTCACACTCACACCTTTCTCTCTCCGAACTCATGAGGCAGTTACAGGTTATGTGGCACTTAAAGGCCACCTTCCTTCTCAAAAGGTCGAAGGATGACACAGTTCTCTGAGCCTCACTCCCCTCTCTGCCCTCTCACACCCAGGGTGTTGGTGGGTAAACCAATTAGTGGGGGAACAGAGGAAATTTCACCTCAATTCTCTGAGTTATAGCCAAAGCCCCAGGTCTCCTAGACACTAAGAGCAAGACAACAACTGGTTGGCCACCCAGGCTGTGTGTGTATTACCCAGCAGCCCCTTGGATAGTCCTAAACTGGTCGCCACCCTGCCCACCAACCTGGAGCTGCAGGCATTAGATTCCAGACAGAACCAGAAACCCCTGCTTGAGTCTGGGGTCCCAGACCTGCGACTCACGTGGAACTGAAAAGCAGTCCCTCCAGTGAAGACTGAGCCCTTCTCCCACCTCCATCTTCCCTGGCTCAGCTAATGCCCTCAGCTTCAGGGTAGGAGACAAGCCATTGCCCAGGCCACATCCCCTCCATCCTTTGTCATTTCAAATTTTCTGGCATATAGGTTCAGTATACTTGGCACTTTTAAATATTTCGTTTTATGGCTTTTTGCAGTGTAATTTTGTCCCTGTCCTGCCATTCAATTTGAATTAAATATCAAACAGATGTGAGTCATGTTTTGCTCTTTTTTAAAGAAAAAGTTTAATATTAGGGAGCGTGCCCTCCTATAAGATCAGGAAAGCCATTCGGAGAAATAAGCCTCTTCAAATTAAAGAAGAATCACGTTGGTTAACGTTAAGATGCTTTCAAGTGAT